TATACATATATATATATATATATACCTGCGCAAGCCATCGCAATACAATAAGAAGAAATGTGTTTTTAACTGGAAACCACTTCAAATGTACGTTTCAGTTACATGAGGATGTTACCGCCACATGAAATGGTGCGACTGCAGTAGTATGAATTTCTATCTTCGAATTGTGAAAATTAAAGTAGCCTCAGTGGAATCCGCTCACGTTTTTGTACAGCGCTCAGCCGGTACAGCGTACGCCGAAAAAAATGAAGGCGATATCCCTGCATGGGTTTGGATCCCATCAAGACCACTAAAATTTTCACAATTCCATTTACCAAACAACTCAACTTGACCAGAAATTTGTATTATTGTAAGTTTGCACTAATTATTTCCTTTCAAAAATCCCCGTTTTTGTACACCATTCGGCAGGTACCCTCGTCTTAACCGCGAGTCCCTTTTGCCACTGGCGAAACACGCTTTCGTTCCTCGCAATAATCGATCAAGTCCTGTGGATGGCAAACCTCCAAAAGTAGACATGAGTGAATGGTATCCACCAGGCCACGGTGATTTCTATCGCAGATTTGTTGAAAGTGGTCTGGCGGAGAAATACCTCGCGGCCGGTAAAGAGTGGATCTTCCTTGCGAATATTGACAATCTGGGAGCCACTGTCGATCTGAGTATCCTTTTATTCATCGCTATTACCAGTGTATTGGTTGTCTACACGTTGATTTGGTCTCTATTTATCCTGATCCGTTCGAATAACATGCTGAAAGAGATGCATAGCATTGCTCGGCAGAACGACTTATTGTTGTGCGGAATCAGTTATGGTTGTCACTCACCACATGTCGTAGACGCCAAAATAACCCAGCTGGCATATGCTTAGTCGTCCCTGTGGTCATTTTTAATCACATACTTCTGCCTTTTACTTGACTCACCGTTTTCCAGACATACTGAACTTTTTGAGCACAAGCAGTCCCAGACCCGAGTTCGTCATGGAAGTCACTGACAAGACACGAGCTGATGTCAAAGGTGGTACGCTGACCAAATACCTTGGCCACCTGCGATTGCTCGAGTTGGCACAGGTAAGTTGAATTGACCGAGTTTTTTGTGTATTCTTTTCTTTTCTTGTGCAGAAAAAAATAAGAACAGAACTGTTTTCATTCGTATACTTTTACATACAACTTTCTTCATATGTCAAATGCGGTCAGTGTCCATTGAATCGTTAGTACTGTGAAAATTGGATATTTTGTTTTTTTAGCAAACCTGCTGTCAGTTTGGTGACAGGCTGCTCTGTTGTCGTATGGATTAATACTACACGTGACCTAGCGGAGCCTTATGTAGTTCGCCGCTGCAAGTCCCGGAGCCTAGGTTGCCGGTACTTACGAATGAACGACCGATTCTCATGACTCTGAGGG